GACAACAACTATATGCCCATTAGGCCAACATGCGCGGAAACGGATGCCTAACTTAACATAGGAACAGAAAGTTATCTAAAAATGCACTCGGTGTAACCAGTAATTCTAACCCGTTTTATCAACGGTTTCGACTTCTAGAACACTACATTTTTTTATCGGTGTGTAAAGATATCTTGCCTGACTTCCAGCGGATAAGATTCAAGAAGTTATTCATGTTTTAAGAACATACAGGACGATGATGGGGCAACTACATTTATTACGCCATGTCACGTTTGGTTTCTTCTAGTGAGCTGGCGTTTTTGTTGTTGTTGTAATCAGCGCTGTTTGTTTTAATGTGAGTTTATCAGAAGTCCTTGAGCAGATTAAATTAAATAAACAAACAGACAATGTGTTGATGGGCCCTCATATAAAGAAGTAGAAAGATAGAAGAGCGCATTAGACAACATAAAAGTAAGAACATGGTCAACCAGGCACCCCCCCCCCCCCCAAACAAAAAAATGTGTCTTTATTTGCCATGTCTATTGTACGGCTTGAAATCGATAATTATTAAATACAGACAAAATTCACTGCAAACAACTGAAATGGCACCATAGGTTACAGAAATTTTAATTAACCAAATATAGGTCGAATAACAAACACAGCCACTGTTAACAAACACAGTATATCGTAATGCTTTGTCCAAAATACACGAACATTTAGGAAAGGTATTTAGAGAATGACCAAATTAAGGGAGATGCAGAAAGTCTGCGGACAAACGTACACGTCCATCACAACCTAGACAGACAGTGAGCAGGGCAGAACAAGTGTTACGTCAACAGCATATACAGATATGCTTTTAACGAAGTTAAGACCTTCATAAAATATGTTTATGGACGTGCAAAGAACGTAAAGAAATATCCATAGATATATATTTATGGCTGACAAGAAACCTGACATTTATTTATGAAAAGGTATCTATGTCTGTGCCAAGCAGCTTAAAGCGTGCATTATAATAATAAATATCATCATCGTCACCATCAAGCGCCTTGCTGCCTGCGCTAGGCGATCATGTCTTTTGACAACCTGCAATAAGCAACAGGCGGTATCAGATCATGTGCTGACAGGCCTGTATGCCACGACAAAAGTGCGTCAAGCATGTTTTTATGTTGTCTTCCTCAATATTTCTTTCCAGAAGTCTTTCCAGTGGTGAAAAGATTTTCCACATTCCCCTTTTCTCATTACATGACAAAAAGAAAAAAAAAATCATGACTTGTCTCCTTCTCATTTTGTGATAAGTTGTCTTTTGGCCGTCGCCTCGTTCAAAACATCGGGGTTATTCACTGCAGTGTTCAAGGAGTTTTAAGCATTCTTCTAATAAATGACACACATCTAAAAAGTCCTCCTACCTTCTAAAGAGTTTGTCGTCTACCTATAATCTGATAATTTCGACGTGTTGGTGCTTGTGGCTTATTATTTGATTGTATAATTGTTTTGCAGTTGTATTATGTGACTGGTTATGTTATATTGTCACAATCGATGTCAACGAACATTACATATTCCAAAACGGGTTCACTCTTACGAAAACAGCAGCCCTTCCAGGCATTTCTACTTATTGTTCCCACGAGAAGTTGGTTTTAGTGTCTCGTGTCCTGGCACTGAAGACGGAAGGGACGTGCTTCACCAGGCTCCACTCCAAGTGCATGCAATCATGTAAGCATAAGAGATTCATCATTATCCACATGATATCACCTCTGCCCATGTTTCTTCCTGTATGCATTGGTGCATTCCTTGCCAGTCTGTCAGCTCATTCATTACCTTTTACTTTAGCATATATTATAACTTTGAGTGGATGCGAAGAAACGAACAAACTTTTTTCCAAGGGTCAAAAACTGGGCACGCAGACCCGTCTTATATTTAACCTTTCTAGACAATCGTCTTTCACATAGCCACAGCATATTATCTACTGGCACAGTATGGTGCCTGATCTTCCCCATTAATGATCTAGTTGATTAAATCTTTCATATACAGTCACTCAACAATGAGATGGTGCTAATTTTGTGGTATTGCTGTTTAGTTTAGACAGTACTGTTTATTGTAAAGGCAATTTCGTAGACCTGCATGCCTAAAATAGTGATCACGACAAATAAACATTTCCCTTCCGAGTGGAAGCGCCTTTCGATCAGTGTTGCCACTTTGGATGTTTTACATCTAGATTTAGATGTTTCCCCTTGCATTTAGATGGCGTTTTTGACGTTTAGATGGTAGATGTCTTTCTAGATATTTTTTGGAGTGAATTTATCAAAGCTAACCTAAGAAGCAGGATAAAATTTGACCACTTAATTGCTATCTTGACAATAAAATTCGGCCTGATAAGAGTAGGAAAAGGCTGTTCCACTTATCAGTTCCCTGACTGGGTATTAAAAGAAACTGGAACAGCTAAAGCATGCCAGGGTCATTTTAGATCTGAAGTTTCAACTTTATCATCCAAGCTAAGTTTATCCTGTGGATCTTGTGAGACAGACATCAGTGAAGATGAGGACATGATTCTATAGGGTAAGTCATATCAATAGCTATGTAATGTGTGACTCTTTCCGTCTGGATGTTTTTTCAAGTTTTTTCACGCAAAAGTAGATGTTTTTAGATATTGTTTGACTCCGTTTTGGATATTATTTGTCAAAGAAAGGTGGCAACACTGCTTTCCACTGCTGTGATGCGCCGTTCTGGCTCGCTGCCACCGTTTTCATCACTTTATAAATAAATTTATAAATACATGTTTTTATTCTATGAGTGCTGATCAATACACTTTCTGTTACTTGATTAATTCATCGCTTTATCTAGCTAACGTGGGCTGCCAATAAAACTTTTTTGAAAAACTCAGCTAAACTGAGCAAAAACCCAAGCAATACATAAGCAAAGAACCAAAAAAAAAAAAAAAAAAAAAATAAAAACCCAGATTGTTAAGTATAATTTTATAGTTATGAAACATTTACCTACTTGTATATAAGGATTTTTTTTAAAACTTAAATTTCAAAATGTTAACCCAAGGCGTCAAATAAAAACCCATATCTGGAGGTAAAAACCCAGCATTGGCAGCCCTGACGATCTTGCTCAAGTGTAGACACGGACGGATGTAGGTATATAGAGCAGTCCAGTTTCAGGGTGCCGACAATACTCCGTCGCCCGATCTCTTCTAAATTTAAACAGTTCCGCCCTGCGAAGGTCAGAGGGCGTACTTCTGATGTCAGAGGTGATGAATGAACACGCCTCGGGAGTATGTAGCTAAGGTTTAGAGGTCAACCTCTACTCTGCTTCTCCCCTACGTCGCTCTACAACAGCAAATTGGACTCCCAAACAAAATCTATTTAAACTGAATCAAGAATGTAGTTGTGTGTGTGTGTGTGCGCGCGCGCGCGTGCGCGCGTTCGTGTGTGTGTGTTTTAATTTAAAAAATCTTGTTGATGCAAAATATATATATTTATGATTTAAGTCAACAAGACGTCACTGGCATGGAAAACTGCACTGAAGGACAGGAAATCATGGAAAGTCCTCTCTGAAGCCTCATGTTTCACTAGGCATAAAGAGAACTGATGAGGAGTCAACAAGACAAAGATATCTATTTATGACTAACGCCAATAAATACAGATATGTGTGTGTGTGTGTGTGTGTGTGTGTGTGTGTGTGTGTGTGTGTGTGTGTGTGTGTGTGTGTGTGTGTGTGTGTGTGTGTGTGTGTGTGTGTGTGTGTGTGTGTGTGTGTGTGTGTGTGTGTGTGTGTGTGTGTGTGTGTGTGTGTGTGTGTGTGTGTGTGTGTGTGTTGACTATACCAAGGAGTAACAGACATCTATTTGTGACTACGTCAAGAAGCTAAAGTCATCTATTTATGACTATGGCAAGAAGCTAAAGTCATCTTTTTATGACTATGTCAAGAAGCTATAGTTATCTATTTATGACTATGGCAAGAAGCTAAAGTCATCTATTTATGACTATGTCAAGAAGCTATAGTTATCTATTTATGACTATGGCAAGAAGCTAAAGTCATCTATTTATGACTATGTCAAGCAGCTAAAGACACTGTTGTTACCACTTTCTGTGAACAGTGGGTGCAATATTATGAGATAAAAACGTCCAAACACAGCTGCCTTTTTAAGTTGGGAGACAAGGCGTTAATACTGTTAAAAATTCCACTTTATCAAGAAGCAACAGCCTCACTCTACGCCTAAAGAAGCCTGTCTATGTTATATTCGCAATAAGATACACGAAAGGATACACTACAGTCAGATAAAAGAAGATGGTGCTAGCTGCAGGTGGACTGCTGAATACTCCAATTTCGTTTTCTTTGTTTGTGTTAAATGTTAAACACTATAATCTAAAATAAATGTTTGGCCCTAAACCACATTTTACAGCGGTTAGAATTAGAACAATCAAAGCATTTATAAATACTTTCTTTGAAATAAATAAAAATATTACAAATATTTTACGCTTCCCTCATTTAAGCATGCTTAATTTAGGATATGAACGATGGGAAGTCGATAAGTAGGTCACAAATGGTTAAGGGGTGGCAGGAAAATGAAGTTGATGGTTTCTAAAGGTGTTGGGATTGGGTTCAGTAACAACACAGGTTTGGGTAGGGTTCAGTAACAAAACAAGTTGTAACTAACAATAGCATCACAATGGTGAGCTGTATCTCTCTTCTCCCCTGCCTTTCTATCCCCCAATGGAGCATAGGCCCTCAACCAACTCACACCAAGTCGTTCTATCCTTCGCCATTGCATGGAGCTCTCCTCATGTCCTTCCCATCTTTCTAACTTCATTCTCCAGCTCTCTTCTCCGTGTGTTTTTTTTTTTTTGGCCTTCCTTTATTCTTATGCCCCTGTGGGTTCCAATGCGAAGACATTCTAGTTATGCTATTCTCCTGTTTTCTCTGAGCTGTATCTAGAGAACACAAAAACATATCAGCAGCAGCAATAGCAGCAACATCAGAAAACAAGACAAGGTGTAACTAAAACAGAAAACAGTGCTCACCAATGATAGCATGGACCCTGACTGTCAGCTGTGTCCGGAGAATGAGTGTATTCTTCCGCCTGTATAAAACGAAAAAAGAAATAACATATACATATTTACAACACGGTCAGTAAATGTTTATTCATTACTCTTTCACAAACAGTAATTCACTCAAAACACACACACACACACGCCGAGAGATAGAGATAGGTAACGAGCGCAGGCGAGAGAGAGAGAGAGAGAGAGAGAGAGAGAGAGAGAGAGAGAGAAAGAGAGAAAGAGAAAGAGAGAGAGAGAGAAAGAGAGAAAGAGAAAGAGAGAGAGAGAGAGGAGTAGAGAGAGAGAGAGAGAGAGAGAAAGAGAGAAAGAGAAAGAGAGAGAGAGAGAGAGAGAGAGAGAGAGAAAGAGAGAAAGAGAGAGAGAAAGAGGGAAAGGGAAAGAGAGAGAGGAGTAGAGAGATAGAGAAAGAGAGAAAGAGAAAGAAAGAGAGAGAGAGAGAGAGAAAGAGAGAGCGAGAGAGAGAGAGAGCGAGAGATAGAGAGAGAGAGAGAGAGAGAGAGAGAGGAGTAGAGAGAGAGAGAGAGAGAGAGAGAGAGAGAGAGAGAGAGAGAAAGAGAAAGAGAGAGAGAGAGAGAGGAGTAGAGAGAGAGAGAGAGAGAAAGAGAGAAAGAGAAAGAGAGAGAGAGAGAGGAGTAGAGAGATAGAGAGAGAGAGAGAGAGAGAGAGAGAGAGCGAGAGAGAGAGAGAATATTGATTAATCACTGTGTACCTAGATGTGATAAATATTGTGCTCCTAGATCAACAAAAGCATTTTCATGTTTATGTTTATTCGACGGATTAACATCATGGCACACAGGTGTAACCCATAAGTGCTCTGTTCTACCTCTAACTCAAGCCTAAGTCTGAAGAATCTCAGCACAGTGTACGAACCCCGTTGCATCAGCGAGGATCCTGAAATGCTTTAGGTAGATTTTCAACTCCAAATGTTGCTGAGGCAGCGCCGTTAGGCTACTCTTTTCGATTTCTAACTGCCAAGATATTATTTTACATGCACAAGAATACATACGTGCGTCGTCCTACTACCCAGAGACCAAGGGAAATTACTCTAGCAGTCGAGGCGGATGCCATGCCTCAAGATCACTCAGCCCTCCCCCCCACCCAAACAATCATCATCATCATCAGGTGCCTTGCCGACTGGCGTGGGCGATCATGCCTCTCCATAATCCACGATCTCCTACAGCATGCATCAGTTCGTGTGCCGACACACCTCAATACCATGCAACAAGACTGTCAGGAATCTTCTCTAGTTGTCTTCCTCTATCCCTCCTTCCACAGATCTTTCCAGTTGTCACAGCATGTTCTATTTTCCCTCTTCTCATAACATGGCCGAAAAACGATGATTGTCTCCTTCTGATGTCAAAATGTCCCCCACATTTTCATATAAGCAAAGTAAAGTAAAAGACCAGTGTACATGCTACAAGACCTACTAGGTATTTTTTTTTAAAAAGATAGAAAACAAAATTTAAACATTGCCCCTTTACACACCAGTGGCGCATCAGGCGTGTGAGGCAAGAGTCATGTATTATATACCAATGGTCGATGTGGTCAATATCACGCTGGCTGCCTTTACTTTCCATGACTTTACCCTGTAGCAATTTAGGTGCTGAGTATAAGGTTAACTTTTATTATGTTTTTTTTTAAAAAAATCATTCCGAGCGGAATTCGTTCACATGTTTTTTTTTTTTGTCAGACAGGCAATAAGTGAGCTAAATGTACTGACCTAGCGTGGAGTTAACTAACTGTCAACAGTAACAATAGGAATAACAACACGGGGAAGAGTGGTGGAAGCTGAAATGAGGGCTAGTTTTGGACATATTAACTCTTTGGATCCCAAAATACGCATTATGCGTTCATTGATAACTACATACAGGGTCGTTAATCGCACGATGCGTTCCTGTTTTTAATTTACTAGCGATTAGTTTCAAAACAAGAACTAGAATTTAAACATTTTTCAAGATTCACCTGTGTTTAACTCACAAACGGTGTGCATTCGATTTGCTAAAGTGAGTTTTCAACGCTTTAGAACTATATTTTCTGTGGTCTAATGAGCTACTTAATAATTGTTTGAAAACAATATGACCGCCCAGACATCTTTTCATATCCATAAATGTAATTTACAGCTTTAGAAGCTTCCAATTTAAATAAAACAGCATGTCGATCAGAGAGGAGATAACTTTATAACAGAAAATTTCTAAATTGGAGAACGTGTGTAAAACTTTACATCCGTTTGCAGCGAGCAAGTGAAGTAAGTGGTAAAATGTATTAAGAGAACAAGAAACGAACGCCGAAAAGATAAGCATGACATACCTACTACTTTTTCGGCGTAAATCTTCATAAATTTCCGAAGACTGGCAACGCTGATTCTGATAACTGCGTTCAAAACTAAAGATATTCTCCGGGTTGTGTGCCGGACTCTGATACTGTACGTGATTACAGCTGATTGTGCTTCTACTGTGTGGATGGTCATCGCCACCATCCGGCCAGTTAGCACCACTGTCCGCAGTTTCGCCAACGAGGACGTGAAAGTAGCCGTTAATCCTGTCATTGCTCTCAACCTCGCTTTCGTAAATCACATCTGGATTCAAGTAATGACGCCGGTGATGCAAGCGCGGCGCTGGGCGAGGGTTCAATACCGGTTTATTGCCAGTGTCCACAGAAAAACTCACAGATGGTAGTTTGTGGTCTTTGCGCCGCATCATCATAATTACCCCAGCAAACACGAACCAAACATCAATGCACAACAGCAGTGTCCTGCCAATAGAGAGAGGGGACGTTCTGCGGATTTTGGAAGCAACGTGTCCACATCCCTGCTAAGAATACGCGAATTGGGAGTAAAAATCGGCACAGCCAAGCACGAGAAGCCCACTGGACGCACACGAAGTCTTGTTAACCAACATAGGACTGGCACTTTCAACCACGCGACGCTGATGAATATGTTGAGAGTGGAATCTAAGTGCCTATGGATGTGTCCAAAGTGCTGTGACGATAATATAACTCATAACTCATTAACTCAGAAACAGTAATACTACAACTCACAGATCTGCAGACTGTGTAAAATTTTTAATTTTCTAAAGCTATTCCAACTGTGCTGTATAAAATCAGGCTGAATCGTGGAAATATATCCAATGATTATGTCACTGCGTGTAACTAATAGATATCTTTAAAAAAAAAAAATTATCATTGACTATATTTGTATTATTACCACTGACGAACTATTCCGTTTTGGACACTGTGCTGTTTAAAACAAGTCAGTAATGTGGAAAGACATCGATCGACCTTTTCATCTCGTGTAACTATTAGAAACTAGCCTTCGAATATTGTCCTATTTTGTTAACTTTCGTAGAAGCCGCTTTTGGTGATTGGTGGCTCCACAATTCTGTAGTTAGCAAATATTTAACTTTGAAATATTAATCCGTTTCTGAAATTGCGACAATGAAGACTGTAATACAATAGACAAGTACGTTTGTCTTTTAAAATTTTAACAGCATTTGAATAAAAACACCGGTTATGATTGCATCTGTATTACACAAAGAACGCTTTTACTGGGAATTAAACGACCAGTTCACGTCGGCTACGAGATTTGGTAGGGAATCCCTAAGTATTCCTAGGGGTTTCCCTGAACAGGACCATATTATAGGGGGTTAGAGTTAGGACTAGTGTTAAATGAACAGCGACTACTAATAACCCTAACTCCCCTATACAATGGGACGTTCTGATGATTTCCCCACCAAATCTCGTAGCCGGCGTAATGTGGTCGTATAAAATGAAAGAAACACGCTTTTATACGATAAGATATTCTGAAGCATCGTATGAAAGATGAAAGACGGTGTAGAACAGCCAAATCGAAATTAGACCAGAAAAAACGACGCATAACACAAAGCAAATGCACAATTAAATTCCACAGAAATTAGCCGAAAAGCAAAAATTTGCCAGTCGCCAAGTAAATCCTACTCCGCAATGCCTAGCATTTAAAATTTGCGCATATAAATTTAAAATAGACACCACTTTAAATTACTTTAAATTTTCAAAAGCATCACCGAAGACACAAAAATTCAAACAGCCCTAACTTATATATATATTAAAAAAAAAAATTTCCCGCCAGTAAATATCGTTCTGAATATGTCATCTTCCACCTGTAGATAAAGCAGCGGTGAACAAGCATAACAAGTGCAAATCTCAGAGAGCTCCGTGAGGCATTAAACTCCAGTAGATAGCCATAAACTGCTCTATCCTGTGCTTAGATAACGGCACGCAAATATAGCCAGGCTTGCAGCCGCTACTAAAGCGAGCAGCAGAAATGACACTCAGAGGTCCAGAGATAGGTAGAGGGAAGGGGGTAGTTATCAGTATGTGCCTCAGATAGCCTCAGATTTAAAGTTAGCGCCTGTTTACTGCTCACGCGCTTCCGTTCATAGAGATGACTCATTAAAGGTTCCTAGCTGCCAGTTAGGCGTTTTTCCTCCAGTGATTTTTAAAAGTTGGTTCGAGATAACAATAAACTGCAGTAATCATAGAACGCCATTGCCAACAGTAAAATCCTACCAAAAAAAAAAAAAAAAAAATATATATATAGGACGATATACAGAAATATACAGATATTATTCTTGAAAAGAAGTGATCACAGAATGTCAAAGGCTGTCAAATGGGAGTGGGGGGGGGGGGGGTGGACTGAGGCAGGGAGAACGTCCAAAAGACACGCTCAAACGAATTAGGTGAGGTCAAAGATGTTGGGCTGGATTAAATATGTGATAATGAAACAACACTCCCCGTGTGGGTTCCATGCTCTCATGCCCCCTTTTTAAAAAGTCCCAAATCCTCTCTTGGTGCCTGTATCAGGCCAAAGTCGGAGTCCCAGGCCAAATATAAAAATCTAGCCTCGATGCGCATTCGAACCCAAAACGAATGACACACAGAAACAGGTAAAACGGCCCTTTTTATCTCAATGGCGCATCAAGCATTTGATGATCTTGAAAATATAGTGCGTTTGAAAAGTTGTGCCCTCCCTCACACTTTAACAAAT